CTCAGCTTTTCCCCATTGAGGATGATATTAGCAGTGGGTCTTTCATATATGGCATTTATCATCTGCAGGTATGATCCTTCTATCTCTACTTTCTTGAGGGTTTTTATCAAGAAAGGATGCTGTATTTTTTCAAATGCTTTTCTGCATCTATTGAGAGGATGATATGGTTCTTGCCTTTCTTTTATTGATGTGATGAATCATGGTAACTGTTTTGCGGATATTGAACCAGCCCTGCATCCCTATAAATCCCATTTGGTTGTGGTGAATAATTTTTCAAAAATTTTTTTTAACGTTTATTTATTTTTGAGACAGAGAGACACAGAGCATGAACGGGGGAGGGGCAGAGAGAGAGGGAGACACAGAATCGGAAGCAGGCTCCAGGCTCTGAGCCATCAGCCCAGAGCCTGATGCGGGGCTCGAACTCACGGACTGCGAGATCGTGACCTGACATGAAGTTGGACGCCCAACCGAGTGAGCCACCCAGGCGCCCCAATAATTTTTTAAATGTATTGTTTGATCCAGTTGGCTAGTATATAATTTCTATTTTAAAGGAGATATGACAAAAGTTAAAAACTACATGCTTGATGTAGTAATCAAAGCAGTATGGTACTGTAATAGACACATAGGTTAATAGAACAGAATAGGAAACCCAGAAATGAACCCACAATTATATGGTCAATTAATCTTTGACAAAGCAAGAAAGAATAACCAGTAGGAAAAAGAATGCCTCTTTAACAAATGGGGTTGGGAAAACTGGACAGCAACATGCATAAGAATGAAATTGGACCACTTTCTTACAGCATACACAAAAATAAATTAAAAATGGATTAAAGACTTAAATGTGAGACCTAAAACCATAAAAATCCTAGAAGAGAACACAGGCAGTAACTTCTCTGACATTGGCCATAGCAACTTCTCTCTAGATATGTCTCGTGAGGCAAGGGAAACAAAATAAAAAATAAACTATTGGGACTACATCAAAATAAAAATCTTCTTCACAGCAAAGGAAACAATGAACACAACTAAAAGGCAACCGACAGAATAGGAGAAGATAATTGCAAATGACATATCTGATAAAGGGTTAGTATCCAAAATATGTAAGGAACTTATAAAACTTAACACATAAAAGCAAATAATCTGATTAAAAAATGAGTGGAAGACATGAATAGACATTTTCCCAAAGAAGACATACTGATGGCCAACAGACACATTAAAAGATGGTCAACATCACTCATCATCAGGGAAATGCAAGTCAAAACTACAATGAGGTATCACGTCACACCTGTCAGAATGGCTAAAATTAATGACACAGGAAACAACAGGTGTTGGTGAGGATGTGGAGAAAGGGGAACCCTCTGGCCTTGTTGGTGGGAATGCAAACTGGTACATCCACTCTGGAAAACAGTATGGAAGTTCCTGAAAAGGTTCCAAATAAAACTGCCCTAAAGTCCAGCAATTGTGCTACTAGGTATTTACCCAAAGAATACAAAAATGCTAATTCAAATGAATACATGCACCCCGATGTTTATAGCAGTATTGTCTACAGTAGCCAAATTATGGAAATAGCACAAGTGTCCACTGACTGATGAATTGAGAAAGAAGATGTGATATGGATGGAGCTAGAGAGTACTAGGCTAAGCAAAATAAGTCAGTCAGAGAAAGACAAATACCATATGATTTCACTCACATGTGGAATTTAAGAAACAAAGCAAACAAGCAAAAGGGAAGAGAAAGAGAGAGAGAAAGACAAACCAAGAAACAGATTCTTATCTATAGACAACAAACTGATGGTACCAGAGGGGATGGGGTATAGGTGAAATAGAGGCTGGGGATTAAGGAGTACACTTGTGATAAGCACCGGGTGATGTATGGATTTGTTGAATCTTTACACTGTACACCTGAAACTAATATTACAGTTTATGTTAGCTAACTGGAATTAAAATAAAAACTTAAAAGAAAAGAAGGAAAAAAATCGAAAGAAATTATCAAGCCATGAAAAGACATGGAGGAACTTAAATGCATATTACTAAGTGAAAGAAGCCAGTCTCAAAAGGCTACATACTGACATTTTGGAAAAGGCAAAACTAAAAAGACAATAGAAATATTAGTGGTTGCCAGTGCTTAGGGCAGAGGCAATGATGAAGAGGCCAAGAACAGAGGATTTTTAGGGCAGTTAAACTATTCTGTATAATACTGTAATCTATGGGGATCTATGTCATTATACATTTGTCAAAACCCATAGAATGTACAGCACCAAGATGAAGTCTAACGTAAACTAAGGACTTTGAGTGATAATGGTATGACAATGGAGGTTCATCAATTACAGCAAATGTACTACTCTGGTCCAAGGTGCTGACAGTGGGGGAGGTTATCCACATGTGGGGGCAGGGAATATATGGGAACACTCTGTACTTTCCCCTCAATTTTGTTGTGAACCTAAACCTGCTCTTAAAAAAAAAACTATTAGAAAAAAAACATACATGCTTAAAAGTCAAATTTACTTTCTTAAATACATAATATCTTGGTGAGTGCCCAGGCCCAATGGAGAAAGATTTCCTCACTGATCCCAGCTCTTGGCTTCTTTTCCACCTTTGTTCAGATGAGGTCCTCAGGAGGCCAGACTATTCCTCAGTTTCTTTACAGTAGCAACATAGGTTTTCCATGTGGGCCATGATACTTCAAGCCACCAGAGTACCCTAGTGCTCAGAGAAGTGGCAGGCAGTGGCTGAAACCAGTCTTTTTGGACTACTCTGGGATTGGCGTACTATGAAGCTCCAGAAATCTTCACCAAACCATTTTGGTTACAGCGTTTTAATGAAAAATCATTAATTTCACTCTTTTTTCTTTCTATGTAGGAAAACAGAAACAAATAGGTATTTAAAACTGATTTTGTAGTTTCTTTTTCTTTCTTTTTTTTTTTTAGTCCTAAGGAGTGGACCATACTGCCATGTTGCCTACTTTTGTGTTTTGGAACTTGTTCTGTCTTTGGGTACTCTTTGTATGTATGTTTGTATACTCTTCAAGTATGCAAGTGCTTATACAAGCTCTTGGATCAGTCCTGTTGGAGGTATATCAGAAACTTACTGACCCAACAATGGCAAAATGGATCTGCTCAATGAGAAGCTTCTTTGAAAAGACTAAAAGATCAGGGTATTAATTCAGCCTAGTTTTTCCATCACAGAGAAAATGATATTGAAACTCCAAAGCAAGAAACATCTTCCCTGACTGAGACATAGGATGGGGATAGCTTTTAGGCCAAGAATAGGGTACTGACATCTTTCAGAAGGTAGTATATCTAGTCCCCACAAGCTGTCTCAGGACTTAATTCATCAGGACTTAATTTACAGATGATCAGTGATTTGATAAAGGAGAGCAAAAAAAGGACAAAGGAGGACAGGGAAAAGAGTAAGGAAGAATGAATAGAAGAGATGTCAATTTAATTGTATGAAAGAGGGAGCAAGAAAGAAAAATAAAAACAACTTTCATACGCTGCTAGAGTAGCAATTTCATGGATCATCACCAAAACACAATCTCTATTTCTTGTTCCACAGAAGCTACAATATTCGAGATCACAGGTGATTGAATAAATCAATGAACAAACAGCATTGAAAGAATATATAAAAATCCTACTCCCTTTTTTTCTTCTAAATTTATTTATTTACTTATTTATTTAATTTTTAAATTAAATGTTTATTTACTTGAGAGAGGGAAAGAGAGAGAGAGGGAGGGAGGGGGAGGAGCAGAGAGAGGAGGGACAGAGGATCCCAAGTGTGCTCTGTACTGAGAGCAGACAGCCTGATGCGAGGCTTGAACTCACGAACTGTGAGATCATGACCTGAGCTGAAGTCAAATGCTTAACTGACTGAGCCACCCTGGTGCCCCTTTTCTTCTAATTTTAGAAAAGACATGAGAGGGGCGCCTGGGTGGCGCAGTCGGTTAAGCGTCCGA